CGTCCCAGGCCGGGCCTGGCGGGGCAAACGGCCTGCGTTCTCTGCGCCAACGCGGGGCGTGGGGCACGGGCGGGAAGAGACGCCTTTCTTTCCCGAGGAGGCCTGCACAGCATTGGTGCGAAAGCTTCGGCATCCCTCCGCAGGCGTGCTGAAATTACCGTCACAGTAGTTACATTCAGCTAGTGCGATGATTGTGTAGATCTTACGGAAATAACGCCCTGGGCCTGGTTTTTAGCCGGCAAAATTTCACAGCAGCGGTGGAGCTGGCTGTAAATCCGCATAGTGACGGCCCGGTTACCACCTGAGAACAGGTCGGGGAAGGGGCCATGCCCGTGGTGAGAGCAGCCGTGCAGCGCAGGGGCCGTACGGCCCTTCTCTGACGCACTTCTGTTTTCCCTGAAACCACTTCTGCTTCGCTGTTGCAACAGCCCTAGTTATGCAAGGATCCCCTGGTATTTGGGAAGGAGTACCCGCCTACCTTTACTAGGTGAGAGAAACTAAGGGTTGGAAAGTTCAAAGGCTGGGCAGGAGGGCAGTGCCAAAACAGACCAGAGCTTAGTCCTGTTGCCCTGAGCCCTGGGTCACTCTGCCCTCTCTGTCCCCTGCTCAGGTGATGAGCTGTTCTCAGCTGTGAATTTGTGTATAACATGCCTATTCTTAACCTTTTCTCCACAGTTTATTTATGATGAAAAAGTTTCTTGGTAAGTATATCCGGTCGTGAATCCCTTTTCTTTTCATTTTTCTGGTTACGTGACAAGAGCTGCAATAAGCAGAGTTCATCAGGAGACAAGGGGAAACATAAAAAGTTCTGCAGGGCGATTCGGGCAGTGGTTTCCTGCTGCGTGAGAAACCTTGGCACAAGATGGGCTAGAATAACTCATTTTCTGAGCCAGAGAGGAAATCCTAGGTGAGCGTCACTCAGACTGTTTCCCGATACAGCGGCAGCAGTTGGTGCCCTCTGCCCACCCTGCAGCAGCCTGGGGATGGCGACGTGCTCTGCAGAGACTCCTGCTTGGGTGCCCGTGTGCCAGGGATGTCCCGGATGCCATCTGGGAATGGAAAGGGCCAACCAAGCAGTCATAAATAAATCTCTTCCAATATTTGGATTTTTAATAATTTAAAGACAAAGGCTCCTAAGGCAATATTAAAGAGTGAATGGCTGGTTTAAAGAAAGAAGAAGAAAAAAGTTAATATCCCCATGAATGTGCTTAAATGTACTGCAATGGGTATGGCAGGCTAGGAGGGCTTCAAACACTTTTAAAAGTGTACTTTCAGTTGTTTTGCTTTCATGGTTTTGTTTTCAGCACCTCTCAAGGCTGGTAGAGTGACAGTGGTAGCTTTGATTCCACTCACAGCCAGTACTATTTAGATTACAAGCACTAGGGGGAGTCAGGCTTTTTAGGGTGCATGTTTTCTTAAACTTGTTCTCCCTGGGGGATTTATGTTTAATTTCAGAGAAGGATTTCTGAAACACTGAGTTTTGCAATGGCTTGTTTGTCTTTGTTTTGCATTGTTTTTTTAACTAAAATTGGCTTGAGGCCCAATTATATTTGATTCTGCCCTTCAACTAAAATACATCCGTGCGGAAGCCGAGTGTTGAACTGCCAGAAGCAGGGAATGAGGTATTGATATGGTTAGTGCAATGTCTCCAAATCCTTAAAGAGAAAATGGCCCGTGAGTTTTAGTATATAGCAGCCTGATAAGGGATGATTTCCACAAGGACTAGAAGTTTGCTGTAGGGAACTATGCAGAATACAGCGTTTTGGTCAATGAAAAAGATTACCTAGAAATGAGTTCTGAAAGTCATACTCTATTTTGTTTTCATAGAAATTTCATTACTTTCACACAGAAACAGTGGAGAAAAAAAAACCTGGCAATATCTAATCAACAGTTTAAACTGTTGTTTGCTGCATTCTCAGTAGCAAAAGAGCAGCTGCCCCTTGTTCAGGTTGTCTCAGCACACTCGGTGTGCTTTAGCACGCTCAGAAAATCCAACAACCTGCTTCACACCTGTGCAGGCAGAGCAGGATGACTGCTCCCCTCCCTCTGCCGCAGCCCCACAGGTATTGTCCTTACAGAAGTGTCTGTGTTCCTTGGGTGCACGATTTGTTCGCCGAACTTCTGGATTTAGTCACTTGTTCTTAGCTGACGTGTTGATTTGGCCAAGTAAAACCAGAGGAGAAGTCAGGAAAACAAAGGAGGCACCATACATGGGTGCGAGAGCCATTTCTTTACGCACCCCTTTTTCTAGAGGTGTGTTAAGACAGCCCAAGAGGGTTAAGCCTTTCCGCAAGTTTGTGGGGTGACAGATGGGGGAATGGCTGAACTTGGGCAGCTGACTGCCATGCCCTGCTCTGATGTGTTTTCTGTGTCGCTCTTGTTTGCAGGTGGGAGTCCCTAGTCTTAGTGCTGATGTATGTCATCTACATCGTCATCATGAAGTAAGTCAAATGCGCCCTTGGCTTGTTTAGACTGTAAGGCTCCCTGCTCCAGTGCTTTTCCAGAGGTTGCAAAGGTAATTAAAGAGAGCCACAGGCTGTGGGCAGGGCTCCCATTGCATCACCCATCTTGCACACCAGCAGCACCTCCAATAGCAGGGGTTAAAGCACCTTGCCCTGTCAGGTACTTCTCTGTAATTTATCCTGATGAGGCAGGAAGGGGCTGCTTATCCCCATAGTACAGGTCCGAGGATCAGACATCTAAAGGTGGACGATGCTTTAGGGATCTCACCCTATGTGAACCCACCAAGGCTAATACAGCAAGTCTGTGGCAGCACAGAGAACCAAGTCCGTCTCCCAGTCCCACCAAAGCAGCCTCTTCCGACTTTGCTTTAGCATCCCTACCCAGAAATAAACATGTGGGAGACTCCAGTCTACTTTTTACGCGTGCAAAACTCCACAGCAGTTTGTTCTTGCTTGCTTGGAGACCCACGATAAAACTACAGCACGATCAGCCTTGGTTTTCTGAGCCTCTGACCTGTGTAACTTCTTTCCCGCAAGTTCATGCTAGCAAAGCTAGTCTGTTCTGCTGTTTGGTTCCCCTCCTCCTGCCTTGTTTTTAAAAGCCAGTGGAAAGGAAACCCAGATTTAAACTGGAACATTCAACAAAACTTACCAGCTGCCAAGCACACCAGTGGTCTTGTCTCAACAAGTAAGAGTGGAGATTTGTTTTGAAATGATGAATAGAGTAAATATTGAGAGAGCAATTCTCAGTGAGAACAGTAAAACACTCAGGCTGGGTTGAAGGGAACATGAGTCAGAATTCATCTCATCTCTAATAATTAGAAACTTTTTCTTTAATAAGGAGGGTAGCTTCACCCTTTCAACAATTAACTGATCAGCAAAACAGACAGTTGTAATGTCTGAATCTAGAGTGGATTTTTTTTTCTGAAAGCAACACTGTAGTGTGAACAGATGTTTCAGACCTGCTTGGATGTAGCTGGGGAGGTCGTTGGCCTGGTTAGAGACCTCGGCCAGGTGCTCACAGTGGTCTACCCTTGCCTTTGAGTATCGTGGTGAGATCCTCTGCTCATGTTTGTGTCAGCTCCTGGCTACTCTAAATAAAATAAGAGACAAGGATTTTTTTCTCCCCCTGCCCCCCCCAAAGTTGAGGCATGTGATCTTGTATTTCTGTGGTAAGTCTTTACAGGTAAAACAACACTCATGCTCAGGTATGATTACGTGGTATAAAATAAATTTGGATGATGACAAGTAATCATTATTTGCTATACAGAATATTAATTACATATAATACATAAGCATACATTTCATTCGAGATTCGTGTCTTGTATCTTTCATAGCCTTCTGAGTACAGAGAGATGGCATTGTATACAATTTAGTGTCTAGATTTCCTTAAAACCAGAGGGGTTTTCTTCCCTCCCTTAGTTGGATCGCACAGGATATGAGTCCAGGAAAGGCAGAGTGTCAAGAAATCCATGTAGAAGGAGCAAAGGTACATCTAGAGTTTGTTTCATTTCTGCAGGTACAACTCAACCATACATCACTGCTTCGAAAGGAAGACAAAAAACTCTGCAAATATGGTGAACGGTTTAGCAAATAACACGGAAATGGACGATAACAGCAACTGCGATGCCACAGTGGTATTACTAAAGAAAGGTAACTGTTCCAGTAAGTCACCTTGCTTGCTTGCATCATTCTGAATGTTTACAAGTTTGTTCACTAGTCACACGGTGTGGACTGCTCCTGTCTTACAGCCGTGAAATAGGCGGGGAGGTGGCCCTTTCGTAACCCCCCCTGCCAGATGGCCATGGCTCCTGTGCCTGGGGGCATGGCATGGTGACCCCAGCCGCCACATGTTTCGCTGCTGGAGGCAGCTCAGGCCTCCTCTGCCTAGTTCTTGCTGCTGGACAAGTGCCTGGCTGAAAGGACCCCTCCAGCTTCAAGCCTGACTTGCCATGGGGGGCTTGCTTATTTAGACTGTTGCAGCCATGCCATTGCAAGTCCTCCTGTGGGCACTGTTATTCTGCACTGAAGATGCCCATTTACATCTAGGACCTCCAGTTAAATTGAATTCTATTCCAAAGTGACATAAACTGAGCAGTGAAAAAAGGCCCTACTTATACTAGCATACACTTCGCCCCCGCCCTGCCGGTGAAGGGAGGGTGGGGACTCTGTGTTGGTCTAGGTAGCGTGCTCTTACTGCACGTGCTGTCTTGAACGTGCACAACTTTTCCATGTAAATGATCTTTAAGTGGATTTCACTTTGGCTGAAATCTGCTCCCATTTGACTTTAGTCACGATCACGTATAAAACCGATGGTGTTTCTTAAGCTTAAAAAAAAAAATCACCCACTCCCTAGCTCGGCAGGAGTAGCTCAATGTGTGCATTTGCAGGCATGTGCTGAGCTGTGTTTACAGAGGATTTTATTTTATCTTTGCCACAGTCAACAGGCAGGTGCAATAACTGCTTGGGATTTATGTGCACCTATCATCAGGAATAATGCACACCCCCAGTCACTGATTTAACTTGAGAAGGAGCTCTGTCTTGTCTAAAGAAGTCCTGGTCTCTGACTACAGGGCTACTATGTGCTGCCCTTTTTGTTTCGCTGTACTAAAAAAAAAAAATTAACAAAAATAGCTCTCTCCGTGCAAACAGTGATTGAAAGGTATAGTCTGTATACAGTAAGCAACTAAACATGAAACGTAGAGGGGTTTATTTGGTGACATCAAAGCCTTTGAGTCTCCCAGAGGCCAGCTATTGTGTTACTGCCCTATTGCTGAGGGAAGGCTTTTGTGAGTGCAATGCACTCTGGTTTGGGGAAGCTGCTTTTCTGGGAACAGCTATCTGTAGCCTGGGGCTCTCAACCACGGAACTGTGCTGGCAGGATGACTACGCTCTGTACCAGTAAAGCTAGACTGGTAAAACTCAGTAAGCATAAACTCAGGCCTTAGTCATCAAGGTTTACCCGGTGGCCTCAGGGTTATGCACAAATGAGGCAGTTCTGATCGTGGGATTTGGTTTAAATCTCCCCAGAATGAGTTTTTGCATGACACTGCTCAGCTGCTGGTCATTTTTTGTTTTGGACACTTGCGGTTACTCAGACTGGCTGAGGAAGGAAGATGAAAGCATTGCTTCATTTTCTTGCAGCTTGTTCCTATATTTACTTGGCAGTGGGCCACTAGAGGCCCAGACAGGCGAGTGGCACTGCTCTGCACACCAGCCAGTAGCATGGGGTTGCAAACAGCACCCATTGCAATAGGTTGCCTGAGGGTTTCAGACACTACCGTTTGTTTTCTGAGGCCTTTTCTGAACAGAGGACCAAAATGAATCAAGTAGAAGGATTTCTGTGTTTGGGGCAGTTCTCCCAAGTGCCATGCAGGAAATGCCAGCATGGAAAAAGTCACAAGGCAAAGCTGTCTGGCTGTTTGGATTTTTTTTTTAATACAGATGACCCCACCTAATCCAAGGAGACCTTCTCAGTCAGAAAAAAATAATGACGCTAGGGCCGAGGAGATACTCTTCTGTAAGACTACCAGTGATGGTAATAAATAGTAATGTCATGAAACATTTGCTGGTGTTCAGCACTGATTTTAATAAACCAAAGCAGAGGTGTGTCGGGGAAGACCTCAGGTTTCCCTGCTGCCGAGTCCCAGTCCTGCCCAGAACTCAGAGCCCGAGGTAGCATCCAGGCACAGAAAGGATGGATGCTGGCGCTGCCACACCGGAGCTAATGGGCGCTGGCTGTGTGCCCCAGCCGCAGCGTGATTCGGGTACCTGCCCCCATCTCTTTGTTCCTTTGCTCCCGCGCGCTGGGTTGCATCCCATGGACTGGCACGTGCGCTTGCTGCCAGGTGTGATGCCACTTCCCAGCCATGAGCTGCATCCAGGATGCAGGAACCTGCTTTTCATTTGCACTGATACCCCGCAGGAACACGGTGACAATTTCCTCACCCCAATGTACAGTTAATGGTGGGTGAGGTCAACATCCTTACAGGAGCGCAGATTATAACAGTGGCATGGTGCAGCTTTACTGCAGCACTATTTATACCTTGGTGGATTCGCTGCTGTGGAAGCAGTGATCTGCCTAACGCAGGCCTATGATGAGCTGTGCAGAGCAGATTTAAATCTCTGTAATGAGCGTGAGTGGAGATACCATGTTGGCAATTTATTTAAAGACAGAAATGTAGGATCTGTAAAGAGAGAAATTAAGGACAGAGGAGCCATATTTTGAATGGCAGTAGCTGAAGGAATGCTTCTTACAAAGGACGTCTGAAACCCACAAGTTTATTCTTCTGAGAGCCACATAGGGCAGAGAGAGACTGCTGGAAGAAGACCTCAATTTCTTTTTGTTTCTTGGCTGCAGGAAATTTCCACCGTAAAGCCTCGGTGATCATGGTGGATGAGCTACTGTCTGCCTACCCACACCAGCTTTCATTTTCCGAGGCTGGGCTCCGGATCATGATAACCAGCCACTTCCCTCCCAAAACACGTCTCTCCATGGCCAGCCGCATGTTAATCAACGAGGTATGTCTTTAATCTCCCCCCCAACTCCCCTTTTCCTCTGAATTTGCCTTTTCCTGTAGCTGTGTTTGGGTTGCAGTGGAACTCCTGTTTTTTTTCTGGATCCCTGATAGCATTTTCCCAGATTTTATCCTTCTGACACTGACTTTACTAAATCATCCCTTGCTGTCTGTCCCCATGGAGATTTTAGCAGAGGAAGTTGCAAGTCGTTACGTTGTTATGTTACCTGTATCTGTTGCTCGCCGGAGGTGCCCCCTGCATTGATCTGACATTAATATCACTTGTGCTTATTTAATAATATGGTACTCCACTGAGTCTGCACTTAGGCTGGCCCTGGTCTTGGAGTACTCTTGCAGTCAATTCTACAGCCACTGGTTCTTCTCTTTTAAAAGTTGTATATGTGAAATTTCTCTCATCATCTGCAAGTAAGCATCGTGTTATAACTGGTCAAAATTCATCCCTTTTGCTTTTAAAGCAAATTTTTTAAGGAACTCTGCACATATCTCTTTCTCTGTTCCTCCCTTTCTCTTTAAAAAATTAAATTAAAAAAATCTGCCTTTCAGCAAGAATTTGTGTCTGTATTTACAGAGACAAAGGCTGATCAATAGCAGGACTTACACCAATGGTGAGTCAGAAGTAGCAATCAAAATACCTATCAAGCACGTGGTTGAGAATGGAACAGGCCCCAGCAACTCCGCTGAGCGGGGCGTGAATGGCACACGGCGGGACGAAGACATGGCTGAGGCTGGGAATGAGACAGAGAACGAGAATGAGGATAATGAGAACAATGAAAACGATGAGGAAGAGGAAGAAGATGATGACGATGATGACAACGAAGGGCCGTACACACCTTTTGACCTACCCAGTAAGTTTCTGTGTTGTTCCAGAAAGCAAAACTCAGTCTGGGTATGCCAGAAAGCATCATAGATGTGTGTTGAGGTAGAAGTGTCTCTGAGAGCTCCCATCAGCCTGCACCTTGCAATGTGGTCCCTGCTCACAGGTAAAGATGAGAGGAACCGGGAAGCAGCAGGAACTTCTCAGGATGCAGACTCCTGGGCTCAGATGCACCTTTGCTGCAGTTTGTGCATTGCCCCGGTGCTGCTCTTGCAGTGAAAGGGGAGAGGCAGTAACCTCCATGGGGTGCTTCTGCCCCCAAAACCTGGGTCACCCTCTGGAGAGACCTGTGTGTCTCCACTGACTGCAGAGGAAGCTGAGGATGGTGAAGCCGCTGGTAAGGTGCCTGAACGCAGGTCAGATGCGTCTGCGTCTAGGCCTTCCCTTTGCTCGGAAGTGAGGTAGACTAGAATTGCGATTGTTTCCCTTCTTTGTTTTACAGCTGGCAAGATAGAAATTTTGAAGTGGCTCTTCACGTGGCCATTGAGTTTTGTCCTGTACTTCACAGTGCCCAACTGTAACAAACCCCACTTGGAAAAATGGTTCATGGTTACCTTTGCTTCTTCTACCCTCTGGATTGCAGCTTTCTCCTACATGATGGTGTGGATGGTACGTACCAACTAAAGGAGAAATCACAGCCTGGGAGAGACAACAGAAGTGGGTTTTGTCAACTTAAATGTGTAGAAAGTTCTACATATCTGAATTTTTAAATGAGAAATGTTAAGTCTGCTTCCATTTCTATTAGACTTGTCCACGTTGAGAGAAGAAAATTAGGGGCCAGTAGCCACAGCCTTTGAACTTGATTCAGGGCTAGAATTTCACTCAGATTCCTTAACATGGAAAAAACATTACACTTCCACCAGTTTAACACCTCCCTTGTTGTGCGGGGCAGTGTAAAGAGGCCCTGACGCTAGTCACAATCTGGCCTCAATAGGTTTTCCTTTTCTCAGAGCAAGCTTGGGAGACAGAGTTGTGAATAACACTTTGAACTCCACATGAACAAAAGCGTGACATTCAGCCAAAATCTTGCACAACTACTCTAATCAACAGGAACTTAATTCTACCTCATTATCTTAAGGGTGGAAGGGGATAAATAAAAAGGAACAAGAGGAAATCCAAGCATAGTTGGCCTGTTCACAGGGGAGAAGTTTTGTGCACTGGCTGGGTCATTGAACCTGTCAGCTTGCTGCAGGTCTCATTACATGATGTGTGTAGGTGAAAAGTGTAAGTTGTCCTCATTAGCATTACAGTAATATTGCAGCATGGGTTGTGTTTCTTTCGGGGCGGTCTGTACTCCAAAGCAGAATCAGACGATGGGGCATTGGCATCAGGAGAGGGTCTAAAAAGGGAAGCCTGGGTTTGGGCTGCTGCTGTTGGTGATGGGAGCGCACGATTTGTGGTCTGTCTCGACATGGGACCCGAAGAGCATGGAGGTACCTCACTAAAGCACTGGCCACTGCTTTCCTGCTGGGACAGGGCAGAGGGGGGCAACAAAAAAAAAATCTTCACTGCCTTCGTAATTAATTCTTGGTTTAAATGCAAAAGTGAATGCCATGCTTTTCCCTGGGAACTTACCAAAGCAGTTACAGAAGAGGGGTTTTTTTTATTTTGTTTTGTTTTCAGTAGCCCATGTTACCCTGAACAGGAAATAGAAAGTTACTTGTTTTCTTCTGCTTTTCATCTGCGAAGATGAAGTGTTATCCCACCTTTCTATAGCTGAAATACCAGAGCCCACAGGGTCACTGTGCTGCTTCTGACATATGGTTCACATTTCTTGGAGTATGCTCCAGAGACTTCAGGAGAGCAATTAAATGTGGCTAATAGGAAATGGACATCATTAGGCCAAGGCATCCAATATTTTAAAATATTAATCAACTTGAAGAGCAGTAATTTATCATAGACAGCATAGCAAAGGAAAGAGGAAATTGAAGGTATCTTCTCTCTGCCAATAGGAATTGTTTGCAGTCAGCTGGGGATATGTCCCTGCATATAGAGTTTTCATAGTATAGTAAACCATGAGATTGTTTTAGTGTCTACTTAGCTATTACTTCTACATAATAATGTCTGAAAGCTTCAGCCAAGATCAGGAGACTGTTACACAGGGTAGTGGGCCACCATATAGTCTTTTTTCCAAGTTAGTGTCAGGAAAATTGTGGATGAAAGGTGTGAAGCAGCTAACCAAAGAGGGTACATAGTAGGTCAGTGCTGACCTCTGCCAGGTGATGAATATACCAAAAAAGCCTGTCACTGCTTCTCTTTAAAGAAAGTGTGAGTTTGCACTGAGCAATAAATCCTGTCTCACAGCATCTTGCAGAATTGGGCCAAGCTGGTCTTTGATTTTAATTCTTGTAAGCAGCTTGACAGTATATTTCCTCTCTTTAGGTGACAATCATTGGCTACACACTGGGAATTCCAGATGTGATCATGGGCATCACTTTCTTGGCAGCTGGAACCAGTGTGCCGGACTGCATGGCAAGCCTTATCGTAGCAAGGCAAGGTAGGTTCATCGCAGAGATGTCATCCTGCTATGGAAGCGTTTCCTTGTGTCCTCTTCCTCTTTAGCTAGCACAGATGTGTCCTGAATGTGAAAACATACAGAGCCCTTTTCCTGAGGCTGAAAGTCAAAACAAGAACAAAGAAGGAAATTAACTATGTTGCTGTTGCAAAGCAGCTAACAGGTTCTTAATGATGGTGTGGAACCAGTTTTGGCACAATTGTCAACTTCAAGCCTTCCCCAAAAGTCACAACGTTTTTATTAATTTAAATATCAGTGGTATAGAAATTTTTTAGAATGTAGCATACAGGTCTTTCAATCTCCTTTCCAGCTTTTCTCCACAGTCAAAAGGACTAGAACGTACTACTGTTTTTAAGGAAAACTTTTTTTTTCCCCCCTCCTCATGACTCCAGCAACAGGTGTTTTAAGAGAAAAAGCTGTCAGTACTGCTTTGGGGAACAGAAACAGTGGCTCTTCATTGAAACAGCCAGCTACTTAACAGACTACCCGAAGACCTAATCTAACCAGTCCAGTATAGAAACTGATGTGGTTACAGCAAAGCGTCAAAAGCCCCGTCTTGAGCATGGCACAAGAGTGCTGGCAGGACACAGCCAGTAGCCATGACCCTCACAGCAGCAGAGGATTAGTTGAGGGAAGTTCTCAGATGATCCTAGAAGGTGGATTCAGCCCCTTCAACCCTGCTTGCCTTGTATGATGGGGAGAGGGCAAAGGGGAAAGGGAAAGGGGTGGGGTGAGGAGAATCTCCCTTACCTCTTTGCCTTAATCCGTGAAAATTGTCTGGATTAGCTCAGATTAATGTATTTCTGTTTAAAAGTTGAAAGACTTTTCTGAGACATGTCTGATTGTACATGGTTTCCATTCCTGCAGGTATGGGGGATATGGCTGTGTCCAACTCCATTGGAAGCAATGTTTTTGATATTTTAATTGGCCTAGGCCTCCCTTGGGCTTTGCAGACCCTAGCAGTGAATTATGGATCATATGTAAGTCTTACATTTGTTCACATGATACTTTTTTATTTATTTCTTTAATTAATTTTTTTATAAGACAGATCTATTTAGGGGGGGAAAAAAAGGGCCAAAATTCTGTGGATTGGATTTGAAGAAACAAATCGTTTTGCTCTGCTGTGATTTGGGAGAAGTTGCAATTAATTGTCAGTGGACATTCCCCATCCTTTGGAGGACAAGAACTTCCATTTCTTCCTTAAAGGCAGCAGTCTGTGCTGAAATAAGTATACTCACTAGAATATATACTGTATTTTCACACACTTGAATATATTCCAAATAAGGAGAGTGATCCTATTTTTATTAAGATAGAGGGGATAAACACATAGGTGGAAAATAAAGGATAGAGCAGACATGTAGGGCTTTTGATAAGAAAAATTCTAGTGTTACTAAACCGTTAACGCACTGGAAGATGAAGGAAGCTGTTAAATAATATTTCAGAACGTGACCATCATCAGGAAACACTGTAGAGCTTTCCTGTTAGAGAAAAACTACCCAACACCAGTGAAACCCTCCTTTATTTCCCAAATGATAAAAGAGCCACGCCTGCCATCCCCAAAGTTATCGCAAGCTCCCTTCTGAGAAGGAAGAGGAGGAGATGCCAGGAAGTCGCTGTTGCTATTGCTGTTAGCTGGACAACACTCAGTCAGCAGTGTAGGACAGAGGAGAGTCTCTTCACTACAGTCACTAAGTGAATGCAAAGTTAAAAGACTGGAGAATCACAGAATTGTTGAGGTTGGCAAGAACCTCTGGAGACTGTCTAGTCCCCAACCCTCTGCTCAAAGCAGGGTCAGCTAAAGCAGGATGCTTAGGACCACATCCAGTTGGGTCCTGAATACCTCCAAGGATGGAGACTGCACAGCTGCTCGCAGCAGCCTGTTCTGGTGTTTGACCACTCTCACAGTAAAAAAGCGTTCTTATGTTTAAATGGAATTTCTGTATTTAAAATTGTGTGAGTTGTCTCTCGTCCTTTCAATGGATACCACTTAGAAGAGTCTGGCTGCACCTTCTCTATCCTCTCCCTCGATATTTATACATATCGATAAGATCCCCCTGAATCTTCTCTTCTCCAGGCCGAACAGTCCCAGCTCTTTCAGCCTCTCTTTGTATGTCAAATGCTGCAGTCCCTTAAATCATCCTTGTGGGCCTTCACTGGACTTGCTCCAGGAAGTCCATGTCTTCCTTGTATTGAAGAGACCAGAACTGTACCGAGCACTCCAGATGTGTCTCACCAGTGCTGAGTAGAGAAGGATCTTCTCCCTTTACTTGCTGGCAACGCTTCTCCTAATGCAGCCCAAGATGCTGTTGGTGCTCCATGCCACAAGGGTGCATTGTGGACTTCAGCTTGGTGTCCATCAGGTTCAACTAGTCTTTCTCTGCCAAGCTGCTTTCCAGCTGGCCAGCCCCACTGTGTACTGATGCGTGGGGTTGTTCCTTCCCAGGTGCAGGACTTTCCATTTCCCTTTGTTGATGTTTGTGTTTCCTGCCTGCACATTTCTCCAGCCTGTCCAGGCCCCTCTGGATGGCAGCATGCCCCTCTGGTGCATCGGCCACCCTCCCAGGTTTGTATCAGCTGCAAACTTGCTGGGGTGCCCTCCGCCCCATCATCCAGGTCTTTAATAAAGACGTTATGCAGTACTGACCCCTGGGGCGAACCACTAGTGACTGGCCTCCAGCTGGACTTGGAGCGCAGTGATTTGGCCAGTTGTCAGTCCACTCCACTGAGCACTTACTTAGTCTGCTCTTCCTCTGTTTGTCTATGAAGATGTTTGAGAGAGTGCCAAAAGCCTTGCTAAAAATCAACATAAACAACATTGGTTGCTCTCCCCTCATCCAACAAGTCCACCTCATCATAGAAGGCTATCAGGCTGAGTAAATGTGATTTCTCCTTCATAAAATCTGTATGTCTACTCTCAATCACCTTCTTGTCCTTCGTATGTTTAGAAGTGGTTCCCAGGATTATTTGCTCCATCGTCTTCCCAGGGATCAAGGTCAGGCTGACCAGCCTGTACCTCCTTGGATCTTCTCTTTTTGAATATAGGAGTGAAAAAGGAAGCAATGCTATAGGAATAAAATCCCTTTCGTTAATGAGCAGCTTATCTGTAGCTCTTGTATGTTTTTGCGGAAAAGGATGAAAACAAGTGGCTGTGAACAGAAGCAGCCAGCTTTCATGGAGGCATAACAATGTCACTACTGTTTTGCACACGCAAAAATCTTCATTGTACAGTGTGATCACATGGTTAGAAAAGGCAGTCTTGGAAACAGCCCCACAATTAGCAAAGAGAGTTTCCTCAGTTTTCACTTGCAGTTCCTGGATTTCCCTCCAAATCCTTGGATAACTGGACTTTAAAACAAAACAAGTTCTCCCCTTCATCCCCTCCCGTTATTAGTAATTAATTATTTAAGTATTAAGTTGCCAGAAAAGGCTAGAGTTTTCTGGATCAGGTGTCGCCTGGTGACAGCGTTAAGAGCTGCAAGGTGCTGTTTGTTATTCAGGGAACCCTGCTGATGCGCCTGGCGCCAAGGCGAGCAGGGGCAGGAGGTGAAGAGCTCCTGCTCCCTGGAGTCCGTAGGGCCGAGCCTTGGGCTCTTGCACGAGCAAGGCCTGCTCACTGGATGGGGGTTCACACGCTCAGGCCAGCCTGCTTGTCCGCTAACTGTGACTGTGATTCAGAAGCACTAGGTAACTTCTGAGCCAACACAGTTTAGTACTTCTTCTTTGGTATTTGGCAGGATCCAAATTTGTTATTGTAGCATCTCCTCCAAAAGAGGAACTCCGCAGAGCCAATGCGATGCCTGTTTTGTGTGGAGGGAAGGAGAGATTTCTAAAAGACAAAAAGAGCTTGCTTGATCACGATTACTTTTGCATGGCCATCTAAAACCATGATTGCCTCCTCAGAATGTTTGATGTAAGAGGACTGTGGCAAAGTTAAGCTTTTGCTGAAAGTAAGGAGTAAGTGCATTTTAACAAACAAGCTGTTAAAGCAGTAATAGCTTTTGTGGAAGCCAAAAAAAGTAGACTGTGTGATTTGAAAGTTAAGCTTTAATGCAAAAGAACCTCCTAGAAGCCCCCTCCAGCCTTATTTTTCTGGAAGTCACTCAGGGCTTTCTTCAGGCTATGGTGTTTCTCCAGTATCATAGTCTGTAAAATCCCTATGTATCTCTTGTTCCAGGCTGCCCGACTCAGAATCCCCTGTGGCCAAATTTTGCTCCCTATTAATGCTGGTGTAAAGAGTTCTGGCAGAAGTGGAGAAGAGGATCTGCTCCCTTTTTCTTTCTATCTGCCTCTGTGCTGCGGTGTGCACACGCATGTGGCAGCGTGGGGTCCTGTGATTATGTGCATTCTGAACTTCCTCAGCCACAGGCGGTAAAGTGGCTTCACACACCAACCAGCCAAGCAGCTGCTCCCAACCAGAAGGAGATTTATGGGGTTTCACTCTGAATGGGAAGAGCAGTCTCACTGCTAGTGGCGCTTTCAGCTGCTGTGGCACACTTTGTAGGATGAGCTTGTGTTTGAGCCTTCCTTAAACTCCCTAAGGGCAGGTGGGTGTTTCAGACCCCATTTTACAGATAGTGCATTTTGATTTGAGGTAAGCAGAGAGCTGTGAATTAGACGCAGCCTGCAAGCTTGTTGGCTGGTTGTGAGATGTTGATATATCGAAAGCATTGTCCTGTAAGGTCCCAGTTACTGCCTAGTTTTGTTGTGGTTGTGGCAGCAACCACAAGAAGCCCCGTGCAGAATCAGGACTTCTTGTTTAAACAAGTTCACTCTATGAGATAGACATGGTGTCGTGGTTTAACCCCAGCCAGTAGCTGAGCACAATGCAGCTATTGCTCACCCCTCCCTGAGCAAGGGAATGGGGAGGAGAATGGAAAAAAAACAAAACTCACGGGTTTAGATAAAGACTGTTTAATAGGATAACGAAGGGAGAGAATAATAATAACAACAACAACAATAATAGATAAAACAAGTTACACGTAAATGCAGTTGCTCACCACATGCAAAAAACCCCCAATGCCCAGTCTGTTCCTGAGCAGTGATCCCACCTCCCAGCCCCTTCCCCAGCTCTGTGCGGAGCACGACG